CCCTAGCCATGCTCATAACCTTACTTAGAATATTTTCTAAGTATGAGATCATTTTTATCGAGCCTTCGATATCATTCCCTCGGCCTAAGTAACCTCGCACCGAGCTCGTGCACGGGTCCGAGTCCTCGCGCCCAAGTGTCGCGTGCCTCGCCAAGCCGCGAGTGCCCAAGTCATGGTTAGTAATGTGGCATAATTTTTCTAAGTGTTTTGGTTCCCTAGACGAACCACGAGTTCAGCCGTAACCAAGGGCTATCCTCGGCCAAGCATTTCCAAGCCCGGGCCATGAGTCGCGCCCTAGTGCCCGCACCCTAGCCTCGCGCGAGTCAAGCATGGTGGCCCAAGTCATGGCCAAACACCTTTGGAATTTTTCTAAGTGTGGAGAGTTTTATTCTAGCCCTAAGCATGTGGCATTCTCGGCCCAAGTCTATTAGCACGCGCAGCCAAGCTGTCCCGCGCCCAGCAGGCCTCTCGCGCCCAGGCCCAGTACCGCGCCGCGCCCAGCAGGCCGCGCGGGTCCAATCCTTTGGCCCAATGTGGATTGTTTCGTGGCCCAATTCCCATGGCCCAAGTCATGCGAATTTTATTATGTTAATGAGGGTTTAATTAAGCCTAATTAGCCCTAATGAAGTTTAAGCCTAAAGCATTCCAAGTGAGTCCAAATGTGAGACATGTGCATGGAATATTATATTACCTTGTGTCATGCCTTGTCCCCCACCATGTACCAGTCTGACCAGGGCCTATTTTTAATCCAAGATGCTCTGATTATTCCCCCAAAAATCGTGCAAAGTCAGCTCATGGGGACCAAGACCAAGTCCACCCAAGACCTCCCCATTTTTTCATGCTCATGTGATGTTTTGTCCCTCATTTGCTCACCTAAGAAGCTCCGCCCCTCTTCTCATAAAAGGGACACTCCTCAGCATGGATATGACTCTTTCACATCTTATAACACTTAGCATATTTATGGGAAGGCAAGAGAAACCGAGTGCTAGGCCCAAAGCCAAGCCGCGCGCGTGTGACCCCGGGGAAGAGGAGTGCTCGTGCCCAGCTTGTTCCAGCCATTTTCTCTC